AAAAAAAAAAAAAAACTGTTAGAAGAAAAAGAACAGAAAAAAAAGAAAAGAGTGCAGAGAAAGATCAGAGGTTACATTCAGTCAAAGTGTCCCTCCCTCCACGACTGATTACGGGAAGCTGAGTCCATGTCAGCAGCAGCAGAGGAGATGAGCCGGTGTCTGTCTGTGGGGGACCGTCTGGTTATTCCTCTCACGTGGTCTGTGATAGTGCTCCCACTATGCAGAGGAATGGGAGACCAGTTCTCCCCCACATCTCCACTCGGATCCCATCGGTCCATAGTCGGGTCTCATCATCCTTGTCCACCTCTACTTTAGAGGATTTCCACGAGCCTGATCAGATGATATAACTAGTTATTTGATTCGGGATCACTTCAAATATAGCTGTGAAGAGTAATGTTACATAACAGCGATGCGGCGCCTAAAGTAGGCTATAGTGGGATATATGAAGCAGAGGCGTAGCCAGAACATTTTGATAAGGGTGGCAATAACCAATGTAGACTGAAGGGTGGCCAAACCAGAACCTTAGGGTCAATCTATACTGATCCAACAGGACAATAAACAAGCACAACATTCATATTTTCCAAATAAAGACCAATTATACTTTCCTACAGCCTTTGCTAACAAATAGACGCATATATTTAAACATCCATCTAGATAAAAGGTAAAGTGGATAAAGTTCTTTTAGGTTTGAGTTCTGGGTCAAATATCTTTTCCATCGTCATTACTTACCTACTTTTATCAATAATCATGCTGCATAAAATGTATATTTACAAGTATTAATATCTACAAAAATTGTTTATTTACTAAGTTTTTATTAGAATGGTTATTTATCTATGATTTAACTGAAGACTGACTTGCATTTTCTCTTTTCCCCCATATATAGTTCTGAAAAGAATGAGTTCTGTACTTATCATCTTTAATGTTAGTATATTGATGTGTAATTAAACACAGTGTTTTTGTGGTCAAGTAATTGTTAATCAATGAAAAATTAAAAAGTTTTGAATGTTGAGAGTATTACTGTAGTATCACTTGAGTGTGTTACTGCTGCCACTGTCAATATTATGACAGTATTATTAACAGTTTTATGGTAGGGTTGGCTACAGGGGTGGCCAATGATTGGGTAAGGGGGCCATGGCCCCCCTTGCTCCTCCTCTAGCTTCGCCCCTAATATGAAGAGGCTGCTCTGCCACACTTTCACATCTCCACATGTGATGATTGATTATCTTCAAGAAATGTTGGATAATTTCAGTTGCCTTTAATATCATTTTCCTTTTATGTTATTTTATCTTATTTAATTAACTTTGAGTTAGGTGTCCATAAGTTTACATATCCATTTAGAAATTTAATTTTTGGGAGAAAATGAATTATAGAATATTTTTCTTTGACCCATTGATAGTTAGTTGAAGCCATTGAAATTGACCTGAGAACAGAAACTGTTTTAAAAACATAATTCTCGAAGTACCTTGATGTAGCTGAGGATCCATCAGCAGCCCATTTTCCTCATAAGAGTGTTATTTAAAAATTCTATACCATCATCTATGAACTGAATGTTTAAGATTATCTCAGTGGCTCAATGAGCAGTAGGTCAGGAGATAAAGATGGATCACTGCAGATTGAACCTTCACTCTTTCAGCAGTGGTGATTAACAGGTCAACTTAAACTAGTTTTAGATCATTATTTGGTTGGGATGTTCCATGCTCCAGCTCCTGGGATTATTAGTGCAATTTTTCCTTCAGCATTTTCCAACATGCCTTTTTCATCCTTCCCTCAGTTTTAACCAAGTTCTTGAATTATGTGGCCTCAAACTATGAGTGAACAACTTTACTCCATGAATTATACATTTTCAAATTAGATTTTTTTTGGTGTAAAGATCTTCTTTTATAGTGGTTTTCTTCTGAAGACTTGTACCTTTAAAAAATTATGATAAAATGAAAATATCATTAAGTGAAGCATGCAGAAGTCATTCAGCAGCTGAGAAACTCGTGATTTCAAATTTAACATATGAGGCCTATGTGTGGAAATTGGTGCCTTTAGTAGCTATTCAAACCAAGAAATATCCTTTGTGTGCATGTAATCAGACCCAGACCTACAGGTTATAGCAGATTTTCCTTAAGGTTATTTATATTGATTCCTGATGTTGTTGGATAATAAATGGCTTCATGCAACCATTTTTTTTGTTGTTGTTGTTTGTTTGTTTTTGTAAAGTCATTCATATTATCCTAATGTGGTTGAAATGATAAAAAAAGTTATCTCAAAATATCTCTTTTCAAGCTGCTGGTATTTGTGATGCATGTGATGCATCTGGCATGAACTGATCCCCAACAGTTTAAATAATGTGTAATTAAATCATGTCTAATGGACAATTTTACAATATTTGGTGGAATAAAGACAACCTTTAGTGACTCAGGTTATCATATTTTTTGCAAAGTGGTGAGACAAGAGAGGAGAGAGAACATCCCAGAATGCAATACTTTGCAGATTTATTCATGTTCCCTCAACTATGTTGTTAATGTTGATGCATTTAGTCGACACTTTTATCCAAAGCGACTTAGAAAGTAGACATAATGTTACAGTTATTATCAATATGACAATCATATGGAACAATGTGACATAAGAAATACAAACTTAACATTTTAAATTGAATTTCATTTGATGGGCAAACTCAAAAATGGCTTATTTATGAGCTGAAAGGAAGAAGATGTGTGGTTTTCACAAACATGCTGAACAAAATAATTTCTGGCTTATCAAGACGTTTCTTGAGTGCTGTAAACCTGTCTTTAAAAAAAAAAATCACTCCTTCAAACCTAGATATAGTAGAGTGATATTGCCACCAACAGGACAGACGTGGCATTACGCTTGCATTTTGGGACGTTTTTCCCCTCAATAGAACAAATGCAAATGCATAAAAGCCACGAAAATGTATGATTTTCTAAAACAGTTTACATGTGTTTTATTAAAGAAAAAACTGTTATGTCTGTTTTACTCTTCAAATCTGAAGCTTCCATCTCTTCAAACCAGTGGATATATATATATATATCACTTAAACAAAATTAAGGATCTGGATCTGATCTGTTTTCCACTGGTTTGAAGAGATGGAAGCTTCTGATTTGAAGAGTAAAACAGACATATATATATATATATATATATATATATATATATATATATATATATATATATATATATATATA